ATTAGCACTGCGATACACAGAGGATGACGCAACTCACGAAAAAGGCGTGCATTCACTAATTGGGTACTTTTATGACTATCTGTCTGAATTACACCTGTGAAAATTTGTTAAATGACCAGCTGATTTTTTTGACTGATTCAACTAACACCTCCTGAGCGGAATGCACAAAAAAGTTTCAAATATACCTCTACCGAAAATTACGATCTTAAAATCTTGGGTCTAAAAAAGCGGTATTTCGTCTTTAAAGAAGTTAGGGTAGGACGCGGTTATGCAACTGCACCCGATGGACACAATACTGTTGGCCTACTTAATTATTTTGAATTGGTGTGATTACGTTGGCATGGTATTGCTGCGCGTTGCGGTTTGAGTTCTATTGGCGGCCTTGTTTGTTGTTTCGTCCACCTTTTCCGGCCCAATGCCAATGGTCCTTCTTGACTTTCGGCCTGTCTTCTCCTTCTAGCTTTCGCGCTGGATGTTTCAGGGTTAGGGTTTAGGGCAGCGATTAAGGGTTAGGGTTAGTGGTTAGGGCAACCATCTCTCAACCACTCAAAGTACAACAGCGCATTCCCAATGGCTTTTCTTTTGCATACAATTACTTGATCTCGTCGCCTGTGCGTTCCCCGGCCCCACCTGTATAAACCCCTATTACCATCGGTCCTCTATTACAGGTGGCTAGGGTTTGTTTACTTCAGGTGTGACTACATAACCACATCTGACTGAAGTTAGTAACTGTGGCGGGGCAGTCAAATGCTTATTCTGTAGTCTAATGCTCGCATCCCTACTAACGTCGCCTTAATGGTATACAAAATGCCTCATACAGCGATGTATAGGAGTGTCGAAAGGCTTTTATATAGATACAAAAGTTTCATGAGTTTGCATTAGAAGAAGTAGGTAGCGTGCAGTTTGCAAACGAAAAAAGAAAGGGAAAACTGAGAACGATTTAAAATATTCGTATGCTTTTAAACCAAAAGGAGATGGCCTGAATTTGAACCTTAGTTTCTGCATGACGGACGGTGACATGAAAATCGGGCCGGTGGAGGCAGGGGTTACTTTCTCAGAGGAACAGTTGTGCTAAAATAACCAGCGATATTTATTTGTATGTGCTAAAAAAAGAAATAAAAAGACCTCGCGGTGGCTTTTGCGTGAGGGTGGTCAGAATACTATAAGGTAGTTATCGGAGTAAAAATAAGACAATGTAATACCGTTTTGACAATGCCTTCAAAGGCTGTTAAATTTATTTACTATTATCATTAAACGGTAAGAATGATGGCCCCTTTTGGATTGGTGACAATATGGAGGACTAAAGTTTGTGATATTACAAAGTTCTTAAATGTTCAGCACTTTTTGCTCGGCACAAACGCTCCCCAGAGTAAGCAACCCCGGCCATAAACCATACCCTTGCCCTCGCCGCTCGTGGTACTGTTAAGGAGGGTTAAATAATATTTAATTATGTGCAATATTGCAGATGAACCATGTTTATCCAAAAATATGAACAGTGGAGAGGTTGCCGTAGAGCTGTGTTGCTCTGTGCTTGACGCAATACTTGTACTGGGTTGTTTTATCAATGGTATTATCCCATCTCTAATATCCTGCAATTGTGCCAAGTTCTCTCCGGATTTATGATAAGCACTTAGATTTTATATTAAAGAACACAGGTAACAGGCGAACTCGAGGGTGTCACAATATGGACTTGAAACACTTAAGTCCCTGAACTTTTCTCTCCAGGACGAATTGTTGGTCGAAAACTTGCAAAATCAAGAAGACGGTAGACTGTGAACACACTAAGACGTGGTTTCTGTGGGTCTCTTACCGTAGTCTGATTTGAAATCAACTACTGCTTATCTTTTATTTTACTACCGGTTACCGGGTTCCACAGTTCCAAGAAAATGGTATCAATAAAAAGGGCATAACCGAGGTGGTTAGCCGCAAAAGAGCGGATGCTGCTTCTTGAAAATCAGGGGTATTTATTGGTATTCTGAAATCAAAATATAGAAGTCCTATGGAGCAAAACTGAATGCATATATTTGTATCGCACTTGTATCCCCTTTAAAAAGTACGGACCGAACCCTATGAGACACTGACCATAGGTATTGATATACTTCCAAGCACACAATCTCGGGTTAATTCACTTACGGTAGCACATAGGCTTTTGATTGGGTACCTTTCAGGTAATCTGTCTAAACTGCAGTTGCAAAAAAGTCCTTGAGTACCCAGTGGAGTTTTTCGACTGATTTTATGATTATGTACATTTACTGAGTCTTCTGAAAGGGATGGACAAAGATTAATTCCATACACATATCCAACAGCGAGCTACGACTCCTTGAAATTCTATGCTTGAAAGAAAGCATTTTTCGGTTTTAAAACGTCCAGAGGATTATTCATGTAGGCTAATATTCGTATGTTCATTAACGTCACCTAAATGGTATACAAAGTGCAATAATTTACCGTACTAACAACACAGGTATTAGCTAAAAGCCCAGACACGCGTGTTTCGCCGATCTTGTGCCGCTGCCTGACGCAGCTGCGAGGGGTTCGGCTCGTCCGTGGGTCCCCCAGCTTTCCCCGTGTGTTTTCTGGTATATGAACTCCAGTTTCAACTTGCCTTGCTCAATTTCCGAGGAAATTAATGCGCGAACTTGGAGTAACTCTTTCGAAACAGGCCTTTTCAAATTTCGGACCGTGCCTGAAAACGCCTGTTTCGAAAGAGTTACTCCAAGTTCGCGCATTAATTTCCTCGGAAATTGAGCAAGGCAGGTATACAAAGTGCTTCATGTTTATAGCAATGCATACGGGTGTCCAAAAGATCATTATATAGGTACAATAAAAAATGTATTGGTTTGTTTTGAAAGAATTAGATAGCGTGTGGATCGGGAACCAGATAAGAGGTTAAAAACTGGAGGCAATTTAAAATGTTCGTAAACTGGTAAATCAAATAATAAGCTAGCTCTCAAGTTCAAAATTTCAGGAAGCAATTTCCTACGAAATTAGTATACAGGATGACTTCCTATGTGCCTTTTGGAGGAAATATATGGCGGCCAACGTAACTCAGGAAACACGCGTTTTCTGCCTCAAGGGCGCTTAATGCCGTTTTTAGGAAGGAAGGGACAAACAGCTGATCAAATGCTAAACACGCACACTGCCGACAGAGATAAATCATACATGAGCACATCTCTCTGAAAAGATGTTATATGCGCCCAAGGGTCCAAAACCCGACTCTCCCCCGAACTACTACGACATCTGCTGGTACTTTGCACCACAGATGTTCAACTTCTGTTTAATGGGGAACTTTACAGACAAATTGACGGAGTCGCAATGGGTAGTCCACTCGGGCCAACCCTCGCCGACGTTTTTATGGGTTACCTAGAAGAAAAGGTGTCATTAAAATTAAACATGACAACATTAAACAGGAGATACGTGGATGATATATTCACGATTGTTGACAACAAGGAAGACGCCTCCGATCTACTTTGCCTGATGAATAATCTGCGTCTTAAAATCAAATTTACAATGGAAATGGAGCAGTTTAACAAGTTACCCTTCCTGGACGTCCTCATGTTTAGATAGGATGATAGTTTAATAAGACGCTCCGTCTTCCACAAGATTAGGTGGAAAGGGCAATACTTACATTTTAAAAGCTTTGCGCCAATACAATGGAAACGCAATCTAGTACATACTCTTTTTCAAAGAGCAAGAAATATTTGCTCCAGGGAGACCATAGATACAGAAACTGTCCGAATCAAGGAAGCCTTACTTAATGGTGGTTATCCTGCACGCTTCATTCAGAAGTAAAGCAACCATTTACGGCCAAAGTTGACGGAACAGTCCGTTCCGAAGAAGCCCGTTATAATATGTCTACCTTTTAAGGGTGACAACGTCTCAAACGCAATCAAGCGACGCTTGCGTTGCACTGACAGTTCGACCATCGGTTTCGATGATGTCCACCGTGTGCCCCACAGTTGCAGCAGCAATGGGAGCAGGGACGGTGACTTACGCAGGGGATTATAGTGCCGGTAGACTTGCGCTGCATTTACCTACACTCTCTCCTCCTCCCTCGCCCGAGCCCGGTGTCAAGACAGAGTCAAGAAGACCGGAGACGAGAGAGACCGCAGGTGGATGGCTCGGACGGATCCTCACCTTGGCGTTCCACCACACCCCCTGGTCCACACAACAATAACCAGGATTTCCACCAACACAAGAGAGATTTGGAGGCTGGCACGGCCGAAGCCGCACCTGGGCGTGCCGCCAACGCCTGGCTCGGATCCCACACTGTGATGGGAGTGCCATAAAGGCCACATTAAAAAGGAGCCATTGCAGCCTGACTCTCAGACCGCCTCCGGTCAAGGAGGAGGTCCAAGATACCCCGTCAGTTGGCAACCTTCCAAGCCACGGCTTTTAGCGCACCGTGATAGCTTCAAGCGCGTCAGATTGTTTATAGTGAGGAGAAAGTGCGCTGAGTCGTCGACCTCACTCTCTCTTCCCATTCCCACACCCCAGCCGCTGTCCGAGCCGGTCAGCAGACTGGAGTGGGAAATGGACGCGGTGGCTGTCATGGTCGACTGACCATGACTGCGCGCGCCACGGCACGACCTGGCCCCCATACACGCAACACCAGGATTTCACACAACGGGGGTTGAACGGCGTGTCTCTCACTTGCGTGAGAGTGCCGTGGAAGGTGCTGTTTCAGCCCGTTCTCAGCCCACCAGTCCGCCACTCCACACGACACACACACACACACACAACGCGACGAACTGCGTGAGCCGAGAGCGGGCGTCAATCAGCAGCCTTCCTATCCACGACGCTTGACGTGTCGGGATAGTCTCGGACTCAAGTCACCCGTGCAGCCGAAGCCGCATGGGGACCGAGTCGAGATGCGGACTTCCCACTTGCGTGGGAGGTGGCAGTTGGGTGCATGAGGTGTGTGAGTGTTGATTTCTGGTGGGGTGATGGTGGTGGTGGAGGAGGTAGGGAGTGAGTGAATGTGTGGTGTGGCCGGCGGTTGTCTACCGCAGGTCGTCGTGGATGCGCATGTGGCCGAATAGGCCCATGCGATGCCTGAAAGTGCGAGGACAGTGTGGGCAGTTGAGACGAGCTTGGTGGGTATAGGTGGGCGCTCCAGGCACTGGTTCGCCAGTCTCTGTGCGATGGATTCGCAAGTGACCGACCAGGCCGATGCGTGAGGTGAATGTGCGTGGACAGTGTGGGCATGAGAAGTCGGCGGTGTCAGTGTCAGCTACAGAGGAGGCGGTGGTGGTGGTGGTGGTGGCGCGGACGGATGGAACGAGGGTGGGGGTGTGCACGGTGGATGTGTTGGATGTGGTGGGTGTGTCGAGAGTGCGGTCAAGGCCGCCCTTGTGGATGCGCATGTGGCCGAAAAGGCCCATGCGATGCCTGAAGGTGCGAGAGCAGTGTGGGCAGCGGAGGCGAGTGCGGTGGGTGTAGGTTGGTGCTTAACGCACTGGTTCGCCAGGCTCTGTGCAATGGATTCGCAGGTGACCGACCAGGCCGATGTGTGAGGTGAAGGTACGGTCGTAGTGAGGGCAGGTGTAGTCCTGATCCTCATCCCTGGAGTCGGGGGAGGTGATGGTAGTGTCGGTTGCTGTGCGCGGGACAGTCGCTTGAGCGGCCGCCGTTGGAGCAGTGGGAGAGGAGGAGGAGGAGGAGGAGAAGGAGGAGGAGGATGATGGAAGTGGTGGGTCAGGGTTAGTTGGCGGCGGAGAGGAGGAGGAAGAGGCAGGCGGGGGGACGATGGTTGGTGCCGTTCGAGTGGCGAAGTTGATGCGAAGATGTCCAACAAGTCCGATTCGAGCCCGGAATGTCCGTTGACATCGAGGACACGTTGGAAGCGGTTGTGCGGTGGCGTTGCTTACTGGGCGAAGTTGTGATTTGCGGGCTTCGCGTTTCGCTTTGGCGGCAGCGATGTGGTTGGCTTCGTAGATCGCAGCGCCTGTCTTCACTGTCCTCCTCCAGGTCGGTCGATCGAGTGCGAGCTCCTCCCAGTTGGTCGGGTTGATTTGCAGGCATTTCAGGAAGGACTTCAGGGTATCCTTGTAACGGCGAATCTGGCCTCCTTGACGGCGAGAACCCGTCGCGACGTCTCCGTAGAAGAGTCGTTTGGGTAGTCGCTCGTCGTCCATGCGCACCAGGTGGCCGCTCCAGCGCAGCTGAATTTGTCTCAGTATGGCGTAGATGCTGAGGATTCTCGTCCGTTCCAGCACATCAGTGGCGGGGATTCGATCCTGCCACTTTAGCCTCAGGATGCGACGAAGACAACTGAGGTAGAAGTGGTTCAGACGACGTGCCTGCTCTGCGTACACCGTCCAAGTCTCCGCTCCATACAGTAGTGTCGGCAGGATGACGGCCTTGTACATCTTCAGCTTCGTGCTCAGCTGAAGACCGTGGCGATTCCACACTGTGCTTTGGAGGCGACCGAAGGCTTGACTGGCTTTCGAGATCCTGTTGGCGACTTCGTCGTCGATCTTGGTGTTGCGGGAGAGAGTACTGCCCAGGTACGGGAAGTTCTCCACCACTTGCAGTTGGGTTCCGTTCACGCTGATTTGCGGCGGCGCGTTGGGGACTGTGGCTGAGTTGGGTGGCGGTTGGTGCATCACCACCGTCTTCTGCGTGTTAATGACCAGACCGAAGTTCTCGCAGACGGCGGAGAACAGGTCCATGCTCCGTTGCATCTCCTCTTTCGAGGTAGTGTTTAGGGCGCAGTCGTCGGCGAAGAGGAGTTCTTGAACGGTGGTTGTGGATACGCGCGATTGGAAGTGCATCCGCCGTTGATTCAGCAGGTGACCGTCCGTCCTGTAGGCGATGCGGATCCCGGGGCGTTCGTCGCGGTAGGCGTCCATCAGCATGGCAGAGAACATAAGACTGAAGAGGGTAGGCGCCAGTACGCAGCCCTGCTTCACTCCATTGGTCACTGCGAATGCCTCTGAGACAGCTCCGTTGTCCGTGACTCGCGCCATCATACCGTCGTGCAGCTGACGCACCATCTGAGTGAATCGCTCCGGACAGCCGAATTTCTGCATGATCTCCCACAGTCCTTCACGATTCACCGTGTCGAAGGCTTTCGTCAGGTCCACGAAGGTAGAGTACAGGTGGGTTCGCATCTCCTGACACTTCTCCTGAAGTTGGCGGGCGGCGAAGATCATATCCGTGGTCCCACGATGACGACGGAAGCCGCATTGGCTTTCCGGCAGAAGGCCCTGTTCCAGATGGTTATTGAGGCGGTTGAGAAAGATGCGGACGAAGATCTTCCCGGCGATGTTCAGCAGGGAGATGCCGCGGTGATTGTCGCAGACTTGGCGATTCCCTTTGCGCTTGTAGAGATGCACGATGGTTGCGTCTTTGAAATCTTGCGGGACTTCACCTTGACGCCACATCTCCTGGAAGAGCGCAGTCAGGTGATCCATGAGTTGGGGACATCCGTGCTTGTAGACCTCAGCAGGGGTTGCGTTCGATCCGGGTGCTTTCCCGCTAGAGAGCTGCTGCACGGCCCTGATCGTTTCCTGGAGAGATGGCGGGAGGTCGAGGTCCGCGTTAGTCTCCACTTGCGGCAAACACTCGATGGCGGCGTCGGAGATGACGGAAGGGCGGTTGAGGACGCCTCGGAAATGCTCGGCCCATCGCTGTAGGATTTGTGTCTTCTCAGTCAGGAGAGTGTTGCCGTCGGCGCTGAGGAGAGGAGCGGTGCCCTTCGTCGGCGGACCGTAGACAGCTTTGATCGCAGAGAAGAAGTTCTTCCACTCGTTGCGGTCCGCGTAGCCTCGGATCTCCTCAGCTTTGCGAGCAGTCCAGGCGTCCTGCATCTCGCGCAGTCGTTGCTGAAGTTGGCGACGACTGCGGTAGAAGGCAGCTTTGGTGGCATCAGTGGGGTGATCTACGTAGGCTTTGTGTAGGCGGTTCTTCTCAGCAAGCAGATTTCTGATGGCGGCGTCGTTGCCGTCGAACCAGTTCTGGTGTTGGCGGGGAGCGCGACCGAGGACGGCGAGCGCCGTCAACTGGACCGTGTCTCGCAGTTGACACCAGCGGTTCTCCACGGAGGCGTTCTCGGCAGTGGCGGGGTCGTCGGCGGCGGCAGCGATAGGAAGGTTGTCTAGCCTTTGAGCTAGCTCATTGCTGAAATGAGGATGGTGAGCGGGCAAAGACAACAAGGCAACATTCAGCTTACCTGGGGATCGCTTACCTTGTGGTCTCCTGCGAGGCTGTAGGCGAATACTCATCTTCGAGATGACGAGGCGATGGTCGGTCCACCCGTCAGCATCCGCGATCGCCTTCGTCACCAGCACGTCCTGCTGATCTCGCCTCCGGACGAGGACATAGTCCAGCAGGTGCCACTGGCGCGACCGAGGATGCCTCCAGGTGGCCTTCTCTCGCTCCGGCAGGCAGAAGAACGTGTTCGTCAGGATGAGGCAGTGTTCTGCGCAGGTGCGGAGAAGCAGTAGGCCGTTGTCGTTGGAGCCGCGGAGACCCTGGGACCCAGCACTCCCCTCCAGGCAGTATGGTCTGTGCCGACGCGGGCGTTGAAGTCACCAAGGACAATCAACGTGTCCGCCTTCGACACAGTCGCCAAGAGGGCGTGCAGGTCCTCGTAGAATTTGTCTCTGACGGCGTCGGGGTTGGTCATCGTCGGAGCGTAGGCGCTGATGATGGTGGCGAATTTGCCTCCCCAGAGAGGCAGACGGAGGCTCATCAGGCGATCGTTGATGCCCTGCGGCAAACAGGGCAGTCGTCCCACGATGTCGTTCCGAATGGCGAAGGCGACACCCGCGTCCCGTCGCTCTGCCCTGGGTCGACCGCTCCAGAAGAAGGTGTAGCCGGCACCGTCCTCCTCCAGTTGGCCTTGTTCGGAGAAACGGGTCTCGCTGAGAGCGGCGATGTCCATCTTGTAGCGCGCCAGTTCGCGTGCCACTAGCGCCGTCCTCCGTTCCGGTCGGTTGCTCCTCGGATTGTCTAAAAGGGAACGAACATTCCAGGCTGCCAGAGTGAGCGGGGCACCCTGCCAGTCTGGTGACAGCGAGTGGGGCGACGGGAAGGAGATGGAGAAGAAGGTGACGGAGGAGAAGAATAGGCAGAAGAATAGGCAGAGGAAGAGGAAGAAGAGGTAGGATGAGGAGAATGAGTATGGTTGTTGTTGTTGTTATTGGTATTGTTGCTGTTTCGATTTTGATTGTTTCGACCATGATAAGACGTCTGCGGCCCTGGCTAGCCTGGAGACGGCGTGGTACCCAGCAATGCTTAGGCCACCTTTTCTAGGCCCTTCCCCTCGCGGAGGCTGGCAGTGCCATCCCTGAATAGGGCTGCCATGTGCCGTTGTGGCACGGCCGAACTGCACTATGGGACCACGACTTCAGGTTGTAGTGGAGAGCGACTCGAATTCGCCGTAAGCCGCGGCCTCCGACGGCGTAGGTGGGCGCGTCAAGGCGATGTCGATGTGGAGATCCATCCCGTCACCGGCTGTCCAGCGGCGTGCAGAGACGAACCACGTCACGACGGTGCCGACGCAAGGTTCCATCCGACCTTCCATCCAGCGGAATCCGCAAACCCTGTGCACACGGCACAGCGCACAGGGCCCCCTCACCTGGTTTAGCCCGCCGGTCGAGACGGGTGTCCGGGGTGTGGCCGCTGAGCAGAGTCCAGCTACGGGGAGCCACAGGTGAGAGTTGAGTGCCAGCAAGTGGACGCTAGGTGCAGTCTCACCTGCAAGCAAGTGAGCGACCGCCACGACCATTACGTGAACCCACCGCTGACACCGCTGCTCGAAATAGTAAGGGCTTATAAAGCTGACAGTGCATATAAAGACTCTTATGTGGGCAAGTCAGGCAACAACTGGGAGATGACATAAGCAATACTAATTCATGGAACGTAAAGGTGGGACTAAAATTATGCTCTAGACGCACGAATAGCATCAACAGGATACATTTATAAGCTGACTAGAAATGCTATAGCTTTCGGACGTCCACTTCCTCACTACGTTGTATAATATTGGGAAGCGAGCACGTTTACTGACGAAGACAATGCGTTTAGATGGAGAAATTGGGCATAACGCGCTCAGTTGTTTGCCACTTTATCATTGGCGTGCGTGTTTTCATACGACATTTTACTTTCCGACCAATTCGGCTAATAACAAACGAAGAACAGAACGACCGTGACCGTCGAGTCGGTAAGGGACGCATGATCCCGTGGTTGAGGACGACACCTAATCTTTAGAGGAGATGTCTAGTTAGCTCTAAGTACTTTTTGATCTGTGATGCCGCATCAGCGGCCCAGCTCAGTCTACATTAAAAATCGCATGTCTCCAGTGCGTATAATCGCGCATCAGTAAAATAATTATATGTGTCGAGCATTTGAATCGAGGTTTAGTATCGGTCACACAGCTGAAAACGTAAGTTAAACACGACGCCAAATAAACCTCTAGCGGCGATGATCCAAAGAAATTGTCAGCAGGACCTCTACTCGATTCATACTTAACGTCGAGACAGTTAAGGCCTGTTCAGCCGCTTATAGGCTAATGAGAATAACAGAAAGTACAGAGTTAGATGAACTGTGGGGTCACCGTGTGACAACGACATCGTTATGGGCA